CTCCGGTTGGCAGGGCCGTTGGGAAAACAAAGCCCAGTGAGGACGTGGGAGTCCCAGCTTCCCTAACCCTAACCCTAACCCTAACCCTAACCCATGTTGGGCTTGGCCTCCTCCCCTGCAGCCTCCTGCCTGGCCCTGAACTCGGGTACTCTCAGCTGTCCGCGGGTGACTGCCGTGGTGAGCCCGAGCTCCCTGCAGAAGGAGCCTCCATCCTCCAGCCTGATAGTGAGATTGGGGCCCTCTGCCCACCTTCCTGACCCAGGGCAGGGCAAGACCAGGCAGGCGGGCTCTCCCCTCACCTCTCTGTCCCTCTGGACCACCAGGGGCATCAGCAGGTGTCAGAGGCCTTGTGAAGGTCGCACAGCCCTGGGGGTGGGCAAGAGGGGATGTGTCCACAGGGCCTGGAAGGGGGCCTAGGCAGGGACGGAAACCCTTAGCAGAGCTGGAGATGTGACCTGGGCCTAGAGGGAAGTCACCCACCCACAGGCCCGAGGCTCCTGCCCTGCCTCCTGGCCCTGTTCACATGCCCTCCAGAGAGCAGGAGAGGAGCCCAGCAACCCCTTGAGCAGGCACCTTTGGCCGCTGGCGACCACGAGCAACGGACAGGTCTGAGAGGCCGGTCCAGCGAGGCCAGGGACAGCAGCTGCTGCAGCCATCCTCTCCCCAGGGCAGTGGCAGTTCTCTTGCTGCCCTGGGAAAGGTGTGGGAGGGGGTGGGGGGCCGCTGAGGGCACAGGTGCCTGGCCAGACCCAGACCTGTGGAACTGTGAAGCCATCTGTCACAGATGTGGCCCAAGAGCTCTCACAGCTCGGTTCACTCTGCTTTTCCAGTTTCATTCTCCAGCCTGCCCCTTCCAGGCAGCCCTCCTGGCCTGCTCCCTTGACCCAGAGTTCTTGGGCACTGATCCAGAACCTTTTGTTTCCCGGGCACTTGGGTATGTGGTGCCCTAACTGGGGTGATAGCTCTTGTGATAAGGATCCTTCATTAAATTCTGGAACTCCCTTTTTTTGCCCTCAACCCATGATCATGAAAATAGTAGCAATTGCCTTTTAAAAATATCATTTAAAAATAGTGTTTTATGGGCTTTGTATGAAACGGTCTCATGGAATCTCAACAATGCCCCCGTGAGGTGGGCACCATGACAGAAGGGGAAGCGAAGGCTGGAGGCACGTGGGCGCTCGCCTGGGCTGGAGGGGAAGGGGAGCCAGCCTGTGTGGCGACAGGCTGCTCCTGGATGTCACTCACCCGCTGCCTCCGGCCACTGCTCTCTGCCTGTGACGTTTCCTAACACTTCTCCAAACCTGTCAGCCTCGGTGGGTCCCCACGGGCCCGAGGGCCTACTGGGCAGGGCTGCGTTCCCCAACACAGGTGAGGTGGGAAAGGGCTGAGGCCACCAGCTTCCTGGGTGGCACTCCACTCTGCCGCCCCAACCAGCCAACAGCCAGAGAGACGGGCACCTGGGACCGGCAGCCGCAGGACCTCGGCCATCTCCTGCTCCTGTCTTCCTCCCGCCCCCAGGTCCTCCCCAGCCAAGTCCCTGCAGCCCAGCGTGACCAGGGTGACTTCCCCTCGGGCTCCCCTGCACAGCTGCCCCCAACGGTCCCAGCTGCAGAGCTGGACGAGGATGAGGTGGATGGGGAGCTGTGAAGCCTTTTAAAAGGCGCAATAAAGGTTTTGGGTTTCAGATCTCTTCCTGGAGAGGAGAGGAGCAGACAGGAAACTGCAGTAGCAGACGCGACAAAGGCCACAGACGCGACAAAGGCCGCAGACTGCCTCAGACGGAACACCTCTGCTGCGCTCACGGAGCGCGTGTCTGGCGGGGCCCAGCACCCCATGCCCTGCCAGCTGCCACCAGCTGGGGGTGCGGCCGCTACAATGGCCTGTTGTGTCTACGTGCTCGGAACCGCCTTCCTGCTGCCTTTCCCTGAGCCCGGCTCTGAGGGCGTGCACCAGGAAGGCCGTGAGTGTGCCCGGCGATGGGCACACTTGTGGTGGGGCCAGGCCAGGGCCAGGCCAGGGCCAAGGTGTGGCTGACCCCGGGCACTGCTCCTTGGAAGCCATGCCCAGGCCGGGGGGCTGGCTGGGTCTGGGCCCACTCATCTCCTCCTGTAGAGATGAGCCAGCGGGCTGGGAGGACACAGCCTCGGCCACCCTGTCTTGGCAGCTGGGCGGCAGCCAGGGCCAGGTGTCGCAGCCCGTCTGCTCTGTCCCTTGGATTAACCAGGGACTTCTCAAACCCCTGTGTCCCCTGGGGTGGGGGTGGGGACAGGGTTACTGATGGGATGTGGGACGCTGGGTCAGACTTGGATTTCAGATCTACGCGGATCACTGCTGGCGGTTCCAGGCAAGTGTCCCCGCTGTGGCTGTCGATCCTCTCAGGTGCCTGACACGGAGACGCAGTCAGGAATCCTGAACTTCACTGCCTCCCGCTCACACGCACACGGGAGGCTCCGTGAACTCACTCACCGGGTTAGAGCCACCCACCTCTGAAGAGGCGGTTCCTCCCTGGCCCCGCCACACTCTAAATGCTCTGTTGCTGAGGGGGTGCCCGGGCTGCCATGGGCAAGCTCACCAGGACGCTGCTGCTCAGCCTCCGGGGCACCTGAGCACACACCAGAGGGGCTGGCGGGAGAGGGAGTCCTGTGGACAGCCAGACGGGAATGTTGCCCCACGGTGTCGCAGTTCTCAGCTCCCAGGGAGAGGAACCCTGGGCTGGCAAGGCCGGTGGTCTTGGCCTGAAATGGCCACACCAGGTCCCTCTCGACGCCCTGAAGGGCCGGTGGCCGTTCTCGGTAGCAAGGGAGAAGACAGCCCCTCCCTTCCTGTCCTCTGCTCCCTGGGCACCCCTGGCCCTCGTGAGAGCCCCAAGATGTCAAAGCAGGCCTTGGTGTCAGAGGCCACTGGAGGAGGACATCGTTAAGAGTGACTGCAGTGATCTGGGGCCCTGTCACCTGCTCAGCAGCCTCTGTGCAAAGGTGCCATGTCCCGGGCTTTCAAGGTTTCGTCTACAAGCTGAGCTGGGGACCTGCCTGGGCCCCGAGAGGTGGCCATGGGGGCCAACCTGCTTGGGAGGCCGCAGTGGAGCTGGGCGCGCGGGAGGCCGGCGCAGGCCCGTGGGGAGGCTGAGGCTGCAGCATGCCTCCTAATTGTCCGTGACTTACAGACTTGGCCGGCCGCCCAGACGGCCTTCATAAATCAGCTCTGCCACGCTGGAGAGCCTGTGGTGTGGCCCTGGCAGCTTGGCAGCCCAGCCCCTCCCGGCCCTAGCTTCCGGCCGCTCCGATTCTCCTGTGTGCCAGGGGAGCCCCGAGGCCCTGGGCACGCTGGTGGGGGTTGCCCTGCGGACACCTGCCTCTGGAGGGGCCCCGACTCCCCTCGGGGCTGCCCAGCCGGACTCAGCCTCGGGCAGGGGGGACAGGGATTCCCGACACGCGGCCCCTGGTGGCGGTGTGTGTGTCTTGCGCAGCAGGCGTGTGCGTGATGTGTGCCTGCTGGTGCGTCTCTGTGTGTCACCAGCTGGTCGGTGCACAGCACTTGGTGGGGGAAGCCCCATGTCTCCCTGTACTCTGCCCGACGGTGGGGACACACAGGACATTCCGCTGATCCCTTCTAGCCCAGGTTGTGGACCTCAGCTGCCTCATCTGATGGGTGGGAGTGACACTACTGTCCTGTCCTCAGGGTCTGATGAGCCATGAGGCTGGACTTGGACCTTCTGGGATGTCCTGCAAATGCCATGCTGTTTAAAGGCTCTGGGCCAGAGAAGGGCTCAGGCTCCTGGTGACTTCTGCCTGTCCCCAGGGCGGAGAGGGGCAGGCCAGGCGCTCCTGAGATGCCTGCAGGTCAGCAGACAGGAGGCCAAGCTGAGGAGTCCGCTGGGCGCTGGGAGGGCTGGAGAGCCACAGAGCCTTGTCCCAGTGCTGGAGAGTGCCCTCCCAGCCTGGGCTGGCAAGAGGTGACTTTAGGACAGATCACTGGCTGTCCCCCTGGTGGGAGTGGAGGTGGTAACTGCTCCCTCTCAGTGGCCTGTCTGGAAACACACACAGGCCCCAGACAGGTGTAGGTAACTTCCTGCCGACAGATGGGCCTCAGGTCTCCAGGGGAGCTGGCGGGCTGGGTGCTGGGGGACTCAGGTTGTGAGGTGATGTCTGGGAGCCACCACCGCCACCATCGGAACCCTAGCAGCTGCAGACAGGACCTCCCACGGCATAGCAGAGGCCCAGCGAGGAGCCCTTAGCGGAGGGCACAGCACCAGCCACCTCCATGCTGGGGGCCCCGGGCAGGGCTGCCAGCCAGCCTGGAGCGTGCCAAGGCCCGAGACAGCCCAGGGCTGCCACCTCTGCCTGGGCCAGCTGCAGGCTCGGCTCCATGCCACCCGCTCTGGGCCTCAGTGGGCTGTCCGCCCTGAGCCTGCGTGCTCACTGGTAAGGGGAACGAGGCCTGCTCACGCCCTGTTTTAGGAATCGAGATGACTCGGAGGGTTTGTAGGAAGTAAAGTCGACTGATTGGGAGCTTCTTGTTGATGATTGTTATGGAGACAGCTTGATCCAGAACCCGGCTGGAGGGGTGGACAGAGGGGCAGGCCTGGCCCAGTGTCCTAAATGGGGCCACTCAGAGCCTGGGCACAGGGATGATAGAGGCGATACCAGTCTCCTGGGTGGGCCTGGCCTCCAGGGGTGCTGGCAGCCCCCTCTGTGGAAAGCAGTGGGCTAGGACTTCTGGGCCCTAGCCACCATAGGTGAAGAGGGGAGGGACGGGGAGGACAGACACTGGCCTCAGGGTCATCAGGTACACCCGTCGGTCATGAGCTTCAGAGGGAAAGTTCCTTTCCTCCCAGCGCAGCGCTGAGCACAGGGTCGGCAGAGTGAACAGGTAGCAGAGCCTGGAGGGTCTCGCCACCCTGGGGTCTCTCAGGATGTGGGAGAGACTGATCCTCCTGGACACCCCGGGTGGGAAGGACCGGAGGACCCCAGGAGAGTTGGTGGGACTCTGGTCCCTAAACAGGAGGGCAGGGCTTGGAGCTGGGCAGTGTGATCAGATACAAGTGCAGCAAAGCGTGGAGAAGTCCAGCTTGGCCGGGGGCCCTGCGTTTCCAGCCTTCTTGTTGACCTTGGGCAGCAGCAGGAAGAAGGACATGGCCAGGGCACAGTGGTAGCAGCTATGGACATAGGTGTAGTCCCAATCCTGCAGGGGAGGGCGGTGAGTCAGTCTTTGCATCCCCAGAGCCCACGACCTCCCCCAGGCCCAGCCAGCCCCTCGCACCTAGGGCCCCTCCTGTGTCCTTGCCTGCTGTGGCCCTGCAGGGAGGCCTCTGTGTCCAGCTGTGGTGGCCTTTCTTATCACCAAGCCCTCACTTCCTGAAGGTGATGTTGCCTACCAGGCCTCTACTAGAAGACTGGCCTCCTGCTCCCTCCCGCCATGCCCTCCTCCAGGTGCTGGGCACCAGCCCCACACCCGTCGTCTCAGCTGCAAGCTCCCTGAGGTCAGGGCCTGTCTCCCGCCTCTTGTGAGCCCCAGGCCCACACAGTCAGGATGCCAGTGAGGCTGGGGATGGGCAGAGCCCTAGCACCCCCCACAGGAGGCGCAAGGAGTCAGGCCACGGAGCTTCCTGGTGAGGGCACAGCCGGCCACCCTGTTGAGCAGGGCCACGCCCACGAGGGCTCTTCCCCACGGGGACTGTACCTCAAAGAAGAAGCGCAACATCAGGGCCAGCGCCCCAAAGCAGAGGCCAGGGCCTATCTGCTGGGCGTAGACGCTCCTGTCGGGGTACAAGCCCTTCTTCTCCTTCATCTTCTGCAGCTGTAGGCACAGAGGAGGGACAGCAGAGCTCTCAGGGCACTCCACCTGCACACCCCAGGCCATCCTTGCGTGGCAGAGGAGCCCCACCCGGCCTGGGCAGCACAGCCACTCCTCTGTACCCAGGCCCTCGACAGGACAGTGGGGGTCCTGGCCTGGGAGCCTCTGGGCCAGGTAATCCCTGGGAGCCCACCTCTGGGGTGTGACAGGCTGCCCTTGAACTTCTGTCTCCCAGGCAGAGGGGAGCCCAAGGGGATCATTGAGAACAAAACATATGTCACACCTGGTGACTACTGGTGCCCTATGGCTCATGGGGCACACATGTGGCACGTGGTTGAAGAAGCACCTTAAATATTATTAACTCTGCAGCCCATTAAACCTGATCTCTCAGGCTGAATGTGACTGCAGCTCCCTGGCCAGGGGTGTCCAGAGCCCAGGCTGTCCTGACTGACGGGGATGGACCGTCGCCCCTGGGGTGAGGCATGAGCCTGGGGCAGGGGCAGCACCCCAGGCTCCACGTGTCACCAGGTGGGGAGCACAGACCCCAGGAACAGGCTTGCACTGGGCAAGACAGCTCTGGCCACCAAAGGAGCTTTGAAATGATGCCCAGCTTTTGCTTTTCTGGAACTTGCCATTGTCAACAGGAGTTGAGGACCTTGGGAGGGAGGTGTCGAGGGTCATATGGAATGGCCAGGGAAGAGGCCTGGTCCTGTCCTGGGAGCCCCACCCCACAAGCTCTGCTTCTGCTCCCCAGAACTGTTCCCAAGTCTCTCCCCAGAAGTGGTGAACCTCAGGAGGGGAAAGGGCCCTCGTTCCAGGAAGCTACTGCCCGTGGACATCCAAAAGGAACTACACCTTCAGTGCTCTAGAAAACACAGTGTGAGTCCCAGATGCTGGCTGTCCATCTCTGCTCCTGTGGACAACCCGTGGCCTGAGGGCGGTGGAAGCCTCCTGGCACTTGGCGGGACGTGGGGGAGTGAATTCTATCCTGGCTAATTAAAGCCTGGCCAGAGTCAGATCCGGCCAAGCAACCCGGGCAGGAGCAGGAGGGGTTATCAGACCCGGGCTGTGTTTATGCATTCCAGCATGCTAATTAATGCCGGACCCCAAAACCCCACCCACAGGGCTTTTCAGGCTCCTGGGTCAGCCTGGGGCCAGCCTGGCGTCCAGTTAGCAGGCTCCCGTCTGCTGCTGGAGCGTCCAGTCACACTGCTGCCCTGCTGGGCTGCAAGTTGGGTGTGGGTCTCCTGTACCTAGCTCCGTCCTCCCCCGCCCAGCAGAGTAAACCCCAAGGTCCTGGGTCAAGAAGGGAGGGGGACAGCTGGCTACCAGAACCCCATCCCTCCGGGCAGCTGGGGTCTGAGTGCCGCTCCTTCGACTGCCCTGAGAACCGGGCTCCCTGGGGCCCCCACAGCTACAGCGACCCAGCGCAGCTCGCGGCCTGCTGCAGAAGTGTGCCCAGGCTGCGTAAGACCAGTCTCCTCCACCCTGAGGTGGGGACCCAGAGACGTAAGGCGGTGCTCCACAGGGCAAAAGCCAGTAGGATGGCGCTAGCTTGGGGTCCAGGCTGGAGCTCCTGGCCTTGTGTCTGCCTCGGGGCTCCCACTCCCACTCTGGGGCGGATCCCAGGGATGCCATGTCTTTACTTTGGCCGGCTGGAGTGGGTTCCCGTCCTCACAACCAGGAGGGCTTTGGTACAATGGAGGGGTAGGAGGCCTGGGGAGCCAGAGCAGAGGGCCTCGTGGACTCTAGGCCACATGTCCTCCTTCCTGGTAGAAGCAAGCCCGAGCGTGCCCCCTGCAGGAGGTGGCCCCGGCAGCCCCAGCTGCTCTCCAAGGCCCGCTGGCTCTTTCTCTACGGACACAGTACCACCAGAGGCGCAGCCCTGCTGTGGGGTGCTTAGTGGGTCACTCCTGCATCTTGGGCCCCGTTGGGTTGCGGATGCAGAGCTGTGGGAGCCAGGCTGAGGGTGTCTCAGCTGGCCCAGTGCTGGTGCCCACCGACGAGGGCCGTCAGTGTAGGGCCAGAGCACCTGTGGCTGGTCACTGAACTCCTGGTCTCATCGCCTGCACAGGCAGGAGGTCACAGAGGCTCTGAGGCTGGAGGAGTGGGGGTGGGGTCACAGGCTCCCTGGAGCTCCCTCAGCTGAGGCACATGCAGTACGCACCCACTTGGCTGCGATGACCAGGACGGCCATGCCGATGGGGCCCGAGTACACCCCGTAACCCCAGCGGTCGTGGTAGGTCCGCACGGCGATGGTCAGGACGCCAAGCATCACAAACGTTGACCTCTGAGGTTCGTCAAAGTCGGCCAGCGCTGGGGATCAGGAAGAGGACGGGAGTGGTGAGTGGCCTTCCTCGTCCCTTGTGGCTGCACCCCTACCCTTAGGTGCCCACGTGGTCGTCCCCTGACCAACAGGACCTGGAGGCTCGCCTGGTCACTGAGAAGTTCGATGGCCACCAGTTTCAGAGGAAAGGTAAGAGCTGCCTCCCCAGCTGGGCCAGGGCAGCCTGGGGCAGACACTCAGCACCAAGACTCGAGTGAGTCGGAATGACGGCTCAGCAGGACCACCGGACACCTGAGACCCGAGGGGCCGCGGGGGGCTCACAGGCTGGTCAAAAGGCAGAGGCCTCAGGCGGCTGGGCCCACACACGTGGACACTGCTCTAAGAGCAAGGTGGAAACTTTCCCTGGTGGTGCCATGGATGGTCACACATATGCCAGGCCAGTCCCCCGACAGAGCCACGCCCACACGAGGCCCTTGAATGGTCCCATCTTCCTAAAACCCTGGGCCAAAAATGACCTCGGTGAGCAATGCTCCTGGAAGCAGAGCCGGAGCCACACCCTGACCTGTGCGTGGCTCTGGGGCGGAGGCTGGTGGGCAGGCACGTGGTGCTCTGTGTGCCCTGCTCTTTAAATGTGTCACAGCAAGCATTTGTCGAATGAGTCACTTAAGAGAGATAGGAAAGTGAGAAGGCAGGAGGGATGCTTTCTCGTGGCTGAAGCCCAGTCTGAGGGGCAGGGAAGGCGGGGTTCCTGGAGACCAGGTGGTGCGGGGGGTGGGGACCCGCTCTGGCCCGCAGGGCAGGGCAGCCACTCACCCATCAGGGAGACCCACATGCTCAGCGCCGTCCCGTAGATGCTGAAGTACTGCAGGAGATCCTGGCGCAGGAAGCAGAGCACCGACAGGCCGGGCCCTTCACAGGTGTGGTGGAGCTGCCGAGAAGCAGGGCCGTCAGGGGCACAGGGACAGGCTGCTGCCCCCAGGGGCCGGCAGTCCCCCGGCACCACCAGGGAGCTGGTTACTCACAAGCTGGGAGACACTCAACCACCCTGTGCCTCAGTCTCCCCATCAACAGCAGGGGTGCCACTGGGTGTGGCCCCCACAGTGTCCCCGAGGACTTCATCCTGGCCTCCTTGGCCTAAGGCTGGGTGGTCATTTAGGGGAAGCCTGACAAGGTGGGGACCCTGAAATGGGACCTCTGGGTGTCCCCTGCCTCTGGACTTATTGAAGGCACACATAGGGCCTTCACACACCCATCTCTGGCTCTAAGAACAGAGCCATCTGCCCTTCGGAGCCTGGGGGCCTTTCCTTGTGCCAATGTCCCCTGTAATGTCTGGTCTGCATCACAGCAGTGCTGTCAGGTGGGAGTGGGCACAGAGAGACAGGTTGCTGTGGGCAGAGAGCTGGGTTACGGCGGCCCGCCCCAGAGTCTTCCCCAGTAGGTCCGGGTGAGGCCAGAGATGTGCACTTTGGCTAGAAGCCCAGGGGCTGCCGAGAGGTGCTGGCCGGCAGCTTTCCATCTCCTCAGAGAGGAGGGAGGGTGTGGATCCCTCGAGCAGGACCCAACACAGCACACTTGGTTCCCCTGCCTCTGGCCTGTGCTCGGCTGGATACTTAACAGCAATTCTAAAAACAAAATGCGTATGTGGAGTGTTTTCCAAGCAGTCAGCTCACTTCTTAGGAAAGCAGCTCTCTCCCCTTTTGCATTCACATTTCATCGTTTTAAGTAATATTTAATTACATGACATAATTGTTTTGACAGGTTCAATGGCATAAACAAGCTCGCCAGCCAGCACAGTGCGCTCTTGGTAATCCCAGAGCAGCGGGAGGCCAGCGTCTGGAGGCAGCAGGGGTGCTGCAGACGGAGGGGCCCTGGGCAGTCTGGAGAGTGGAGCAAGTCGGGTGGACAGAGAGAGCTCCCGCTGCCTGCAGCCTTACGCAGCCCCTCAGAGGCGTTAACAAGAGACACAGTGTCCAGGACTAGGAAGGAGGTGGTCTTGCCTGTCTGCTCTGGTCGGCCCACCCAGACAACTGCCTTGAGCTTTGGACACTACATCTTTCTTGAGGCAATATTGGCAAAGAGGGTAGAGAAGGATGATTATGTGCAGGACATGACGGCTCAGGAAAGGGAAGCTTCAGGTAGGGGCTGATCGAGGTGTTTAAATGTCTATGGGATACAGAAGGGTCTCCTGGCTCCTTCCAGAACCACATCTCCTACCCCCACCTGCTGTCTCGGTCTCCCCTCGCATCACAGATTGCTGTGTGTGCTTGACTCATCCACTGGAGATTCTGGCAATGTTTGTGTGCTGCCCGCCCCCAGGAGCAGGAGAGTCTGTCTTATCCTGGCAGTGATGCCAGTTGCCAGCCTGGTGCTCACCCAGGTGTGCAGGTGAAGGGAGGAGGGTCCCAAGTGGTCTGGAGATCCAGCCTGCCCACGGGGCAGGAGGGGCCTCCCCCACCTGGTCCAGGGCTCCTCCTGATGACTGCTCGTTCTGTGTGATGGAGGGGCACCACCTGCCCAAGGGGGCCTGGGAGGTGTGGCGATTGGCACTAGCCTCCGCCTCCAACATGGGGACAGAGTAGCCAGGCCTGCTGCTGGCCGGGTGGGCCGGGCGCAGACTCTGCCATTGGCACCCGCAGAGAGCTGTTGAGGGAGCTCAGGCAGGAGCTGACCCCTTTTGGCCTTCTCTGTCCAGTGGGATAAGCACATTGCCCTGAGGGCTCTCTAGAGGCCCTGGGTAAAGTGCCCAGCACCTGTCCCAACAGGAATGGTCACTGTCACAGAGGCCCTGGTGGGAGCAGAAGCCATGTGGAGGACAGGACTGTGGGAGGTGCAGACTGTGCCTTGAGGACATTTGTCCTGGGAGACAGCTGCCTCTGCCACTCTGGGTGGGGCAGGGTGGGGCTGGGTGGGCCTCAGAGGCTGGCCACAAAGACCGCTGTGGGGTCAGTCCACAGCAGGTGGGCGGGGGGGGGCTCACCGGGAGAGTGCCTGTGATCTGCGGGACTGGGCCTAACGTAGGCTTCTCTGCCTGACCCTGAGGCCCTCCACGCACTCAGAAGTCTCCTCCTGGCCCTGGCCCTTGGCTTCTCCACAGCCTCAGTCTCCCCATCAACAGGCCAGGGTCCCCGGAGGAGGCGGCGATGAGCTGGGTTACTGTGGCACCCGTGCCCTAGCCTCCCTGGGACTCAGCCTCCTCACCCATCACTGGGAATCCCCATGCTAGCTCCTGGGAGGTGCGGACACCTGGCATGCAGCATACTGGGCACAGCCCCCTCCCTGGACTTGGCTCCTGGCCCCTCCCCATCGGGGTAGAAGTCTCCCACCTGGAGGGAGGACTTTGAGTTCCTCCAAGGAGCTCGCCTGTCCTAGGTCATCGTTGTCCATGTGAGCCCACCACCTGGGGGAGGTGTGCTGACCCTGCCCCACCCCATAGCCCGAGCACCGGCAGCTCCTTGGCTGAAGGCCCTGTGGTGAGTGCGGCCCCAGGTCTGGTTCTGCCACCAGACACTGAAGCTGTCTGAGGGAAGCTGAGCCAGGAGCCCTGGGAGGGAGCTCTGTGGGGTCCCACAGCTGGGAGGGACTCTCGGGGACCCAGAGGCTAGGGGGGACCACATAGCTGGCTAGACAGATAGACAGGGAGACAGACGATGGCTTAGGCAGGTGACCGGAGGTGGATGATGGACAGATGGCCGATCCCCCAGACAGGTAGGTGGTTAGCTAGAGGGACCCATAGGTAGAACATGTGGATCCGGGGTGGAGCTGGAGAGGAGGAAGAAGTAAATCCCATGGGGTCTAGCTCCAGAGAGCGAGGGAGGCTGCCACAGGGAGAGGGAGCGAGGAGACGGGGCCTGGAGGGAGAGCTAGACAGACAGCCAGTAGGAGAAGCAAAGGCAGAGAGGCCACGGCAGGAAGTGAGGGGGAGAGCCACCCCAGAAACAGGGGCTTCAAAAGCAGCCAGCCAGTGCCAGGCGCTCCCCTGAAAGCCAGAGAAGATCACCCCATGACAGTTACCTGGAGATGGAGGGGAGCCAGAGAGGGAGCTGGGAACCAGCCAGACATGGAAATGGAAGGAAGGACCCAGGGGCAGAGGCAGCCCCAGGGGGAGAGGGCTGTGGAGCGCACCCCGCTGGACGGTGGGCAGCGGAATCCTGCAGCTCGACTCACCCAGGCCCAGGTGTCCCCTGAGCCCCGCTAGTCCCTTCCCAGGCCTGCTCACCCCTTCCTCCCTGCTCAGCTGTCCCAGGGCCAGAGCTGTAAGGTGGGTGTGGAGGGGCAGCGTGGAAGGGACTAGTCCTCCCAGCTGGTAGGCATCACGGTTGGTGTCACAGTGCCACTCGTCCCAGGAAGCTCTGGCACAGATGGGGAAACTGAGGCCCGGAGGGGAAGGGGGTCCTGAGCTTCTCTCTCTCTGGTCTCCAGACCCCACCCTGGGTCCTTTCTTTCACTCCCAGGTCAAGCCGTCCTGCCCACCACAGCCGGAGCAGTGCCCAGGGCCTCCGGGGTCTTCCTCCCACGCCCCAGACTCACCGCCTCGAAGAACATGGTGAAGAGGTAGACCATGGCCTCCATGTGGAAACGCCTCTTGGCCGCCACACTGACAGTGGGGAGAAAGGCCAGGCTGCTGAGGGTGGGCAGCAGCAGTTTGGCCACGAGGGTCCCCATGGGCAGAAGAGGGCACTGGCTGGGAGCAGGGGCAGGGCACACAAGGGAGAAGGCCTAGGCCCTCGGCAGGGCTCCGCTGGGGTGGCAGCTGCAGGAGTGCCCACGAGGAGGCCCGAGTGCCCCAGCCTGTGTGAGCCCTGCGGCGACAGCTGACAAGCCACGTGACCAGCCTCGCCTTGGGCCTCTTTTTTATTTTTTTTTTTCTGAAAGCCCAGAGGAGCTGACTCAGGAGGCCTTGTCTGTTTTCTCTGGGAAAAATCCTTGGGAGAAAGCCCCCGTGCATGCTCTCCCTGGGGTCTGGCCACCTTCCATCCTGGCCTCGCCCAGGGATGGGCAGCCTGGTGGGTGCTGCAGCTTTGGCCGCGTGTCCAGGGTGCTGGAGGTGCGAGGCCCTGGAGCTCAGCTAGCTTGAGCACCCAAGGCTTTGCTGATCCGCCTCAGCCCTGCCCCACCCACGGGTGCTGCCCACTGTCTGCACGGGTTCCTTTGCTGGTTCACATCATTCCATACCCAAGGTGTCCAGCAGGACCCTCTCCCACGGGCTCCAAGCACAAGCCCGGACTCCAGCCTTCCTCCCCTTCTGTCCACCTGGCTCCTTTGCTGGCCTTGAGGAAAGGACCTCTCTTGTTGCAGAAGGTCTTGGGGGGTCTGTCTGGCAGGGCACCCTCGTCCCCCAGCCAAAGAATGGTTGACCTGTGATCCTGCTTCCCAGCGGGTGCTCTCTCTGCATAGATGGGTTTGTGGTCAGCTAAGCCACTGTCACCACCTTTCATCTGGTCACTCTGGCATAATTCATGCTGGACAAAACACAGGTCTCAAACTTGCAGTGGTGAGTTTTGATGTCCCCACTGGGTTGAGCCCAGTCCCTGAGACTGCGCCGTCCCCACCTCTGTCCAGCTGCCTTTGCTCTGGGTCTTGGAGGTAGATTGGGCAGTGCCTCCTCAAAGCCTGGCTTCTGTCTCTGGGCCTCTGTGATGCCTGTGACCTGGCCCAGACTGCACCAGGGGCTGCGCTGGGGTGGCTTGTGACCGTCCTGTGGCCACCCGCACTTTCCTTCCCCTGGGAACTGGCTCAAGGCAGGGGGCAGCAGGTGCCAGTGGCATGATGCTCCCAGAGGCTGTGGCTGCTCCTGCGGCTGCTCCTGCCCTGCCTCCTGGCCGGGAGTGCCCACACACCTTTCTAGAAACCTCTTTCTTGTCTGAAGTTGGTTGGAACCCGTTTCTGCTCTTTGCAAGGAGACGTCCAGGTTGAGACACCTGGTGGTATCATTCACATCCCTCCTGGAGACCACTAGGCCATCCTAACCCAGACCTGTCCCCCAGACCCAGGCCTCCTGGCCCCCTTCCACCATCCTCGCCCTGTCCTCCCTCTCCCTCTGTGGTCTGGAGAAGGCCTTGCTAACTCCTACCTGGGCAGTGTATCTGGGGGCGCTTCCAACCCACAGCACCCCTGCTTCCGTCCCAGCACCTGCCCACTGATGGGTGTCCCTGTCCTGCAGGAGTGCTGGTGGGTGGGTCTTCGCCATCATCCCCCTGCCCTGGCACACTGTGGATCTCCAGCAAGCACTGACTTAATGAATGACTCTGTTTAAAAAGTGAATGAAATTCCAAGGAGCGCCGCGGCCTGTTCAGCCTGGCCTTCCAGGAGCGCAGTTGCCTCTCCAAATGGGAAAACCAGGCCCTGCCGCGTGCGGTGCAGGGGGAGGCACGCAGCCCCAGGGGCCCCTCCTGTCTGAGGCCTGGGTCGACCTTGCTCCTCTCCTCTCTGCCCCAGCTCCTGCCCAGCCTCAGCCCCACCCAGGAGGAGCAGGGGGTGAAGAAGAAGTGATCTGAGGTCGGTGCCTGGGAGGGGTGCGGAGCGGCTCTGGAGCCGTGCAGGAGCAGGACATTCCACAGCTGGCTCGCACAGAGCGTGTGCGTTTTGCAGCTGTGAGCTCCGGGCAGGGCTGCAGGGGGAGGAGAGGTGGGCCTGCACATGTGCTGTGGCCATTAAGGAGGAGGGGGCCGAGGAGGGACCAAAGTGGGGAGACAGGTGTCTGGGTGGGGGGCAGCTGGGAGCCCCTGCACAAAGGCTGGACTGTGAGCTGCCTCTGAGGGGTGGCTGAGCGCAGAGTGGAGGTGGAGGTGGCCGTGTGTGGCTCCCATGGAGCCAGGCTGCCTGGACACAGACCAGCTGGCTCTGGAGAGGGCATTCAGCTCTGAGCAGGACTGAAGTGACCCTCGGTTCTCCCTGAAGAAAGGAAAGCCATTGGCCTGGGGGCCTGGAGCTGGGGAGGCGGTGTGGAGGAGGCAGGAGGCTGTTGTGGGGCCTCGCTGCCCCTGGAGACGTGGGGAGGCTGGGTCCACCTGTGTGGCTCCGAGCCACCCCCAATGCTCTTGCCTGCCAGCCCCCTAGCAGCAGAGCTTCTGTGCATGCCTCTTTACTCTAGCCCCTCTGGCCTGCTGCTGGGCTGCTCCCATCACACTCTAGTCTCAGCCTCTCCCTGGGCTGGGATGTGCCCTGTCGGGGCCTGCTCGGCACTGTGTGTGTGCTGGGTGCTGACGGCCCCTCGTGCTCTCCCCGTTTCACAGAGGTTGAAACCGAGGACCAGAAAGAAGCAGCGGCTGTGTCCAGGCCTGCAGGCCGATCCTGACACCCAGGCCCAGTGCCCCCACCCTGGGAGGGCAAAGCGGCCTCCTTCACCCTGGCCCACGGGTCCCTGGTGGCCATTCCCAGCAGGCTCTTAGAATGATTTGGCCCCAGCTCCAGGCCTCTGGTGGGGTGTGGGTGGGTGGTGTCCCTCATCCAGCAGGTGGCGCTGGGGTCAGTCCCGGGGCCAGCGTGTGGAGCCAAAGCTGACCACCCGCACCCCTTCCCTTGCCCCCTCAGCCTCGGGAGCGGCCAGTTTTATAGAGTTGCTGAGATGCCTGGAATGCCACGGCTCCCGCCTCCGGGACAGCTGTCTGTCTGCCCGGCCCAGGAGAGCCGGGCCAGCCGCCGCTGTGTTTGCGTCCTCCAAAGTTTGAACCCCCAGCCCCTAGCGCTGGGTCACCCCAGAGCAGGCAGGCGTGCAATGGTGGCTGAGGCTGAGGCTCCCTGTGCTGGGGGAAAGACAGTCTTCCCAGGGGCCCCAAGCCTGGCCAACCTCAGGAGGCTCTGCCTCTGTACTCACGATGGTGGCCCCGTGTCTCGGCAGCGAGGTGGCGATGAGCTGGCAGTTCTCAGCTTCGCATCACCCTGGGTGGGCCAGGCAGAGGCCCCACCCCTTCCTGGCACCTCTGTGGGCCCTTTGGCCCTGTGAGCCTCAGTTTCCTCCTCTGTGTCCTCCCAGGCAGGAGCACAGGGCAGAGCTGGGGCAGGCTCACCCTCACATACGCTCTGTGCAGCCTGTCCCCTAAACCAGGGGCTTCTCGCCCTCTGACAGGTAAGTGGCTGCCTGCCACACCCAGGTTCTGGGGCGCGGCTGGGAAGAGAGCCTCATTGCTGGATGGCACAGCCCCCGTGCTGCCCCCCACCCCAGCAGAACCGTACGTAGGATGCTCCTGCGAGCGCCATTTGCTGAGTGGGGTGGAGCGGGGCAGGACACAGTCAGTGGTGGCGGCCGTGGCCAGGACAGAGCCGCTGTCTAGAAAGCAGCTCTGGTGAGAGAATCGCCTAATGACAGCCAGCAGCAGGCAGAGGCCAGGAGGAGGGCTCCCACCGTGGGGTCCCGACAGCATCCCCATCGGCTCCCTCCTCCGCCACACACCCCACCCAGGGGCGCTGGCAGCAGTGGAGTTCTAACAACGCCTGGGTCCCGAGAAGACACTGGGCCTTCTAAAAGACGCCAGAAGACCCCTGGAGTGCTGGGCAACGCTGAACTCCCTTCTGGCCACCCCGCCTTCTAACCTGCTGGCGACCCACATTTTGGGACAGAGAACCCCTTTTCTGTGGTGTCTAGGCGGCGGTGTCCTGCGCTGTCCTGGTCGTCCACAGGCCCAAGTCCCTTGGAACGTCGTGCCTCAGCCTAACAGAAACCGCCAGACTCCTGGCTGAGAGGAGAGGGAACCTGGAAGTCCACCTTGTGGGCTATCCCGAGACCTGGGGCCACCCAGGGGTCTTCACCCCCTCTCCAGACAGATTCCATAGGCCTAGGGGTGCTGCCAGAAATATCCAGCCCCCAGCAGCAGGCTGAGCCCCAGTGGGCTTCCTGTTGGGGAAGGGGCCCTCCCAGATGGAAGCCAGAAAGCCGTGGGTGCCTGGAGGCCTGGGGGAGCTGGGGGAGCTGGCCGCTGGCTGCACCCTTGTCCCCGCCTTGGCCCCTGCTCTTGCCTGCCCTGGCTTGATTCTCCACAGCAGATCTTTCAGATTTCCTCAGGGCTTGGCTCCTGAACCTGCCAGCCCTTTACGGAGACCCTTCGCTGAGGAAGGGGCATTATGAACTTGGGGTTCCGGAGACCCTGGGCTCCAGGCCCAGTGGGCAGGCCTGCCTCTCACCTGGCCCTGTGCTGGACTCATAGCCTGTAGGCCAGGCAGCACTGTGTGGCTGTGAGTCAGCTCCAGCCACACTGTGGCCTCGGTTTCCTTGTCTGTCTGGACATGACCATGTGGCCTGGTGTGGTTTTGTCAGGGTTGAGGAAAACGGCGTCAGGAAACCCAGGGCCCAGGGTCCAGGAACACGGCTGCCCTGGCCCTGCTGCGGCCTCCTTCGGGATCAGCTCATGAACTCACATGCACTCCCCACAGCCCCGCGTGGAGACCGCCTCCCAGCCCCATTGTGCAACCGAGGAAGCTAAAGCCCAGAGAGTCTTCCAACGTGCCCAGAGTCACCCGGATGGGAAGACTAAGATGGGATTATAACCCAGGAAGCCTGGCTTCCGGCCAGACCAAGACATAGGTAGGACACCCGGCATGGCCATCATGGTCACCTGAAGACCAGCTGCTCTCCACAGGGTGGGGCCTCCAGGTGCTGCCTCCCAAGGGTGGGCTCCAAGGCCTGGGCTGGCCTGCTGGTCCTGTGGGCTCTGGAAGGAGTCTGTGGGTCTGGCTGTGGGGTCTCTGA